CTTTTATGAGTGCTTAAATTTACTTAACATTAAATTTTTTAATTATCGCAGTGAGCTTTTATTATGGCACTATCTTTATAATAACTTCATCTTTGACAAAGGGTAAAGGGCAATGTCTTTTTATGGAGTCACAGTTCTTGAAATTTTCTCTAATTTTCAATTCATAAATTCATTAGAATCCATGCTCAATTGCCCGCCAACTTGTTCAGGTTTTGTTTGCCTCCGCTCGACGAGGTGGCGAGTCGCAAACAAATACGAAATTTGTTAATTAAATTATGTGTTTCACCGGAGCAGTAAACAAAAGGCACAAGCAAAGGCAAAGGCAAAGGCAAAGTCAGGCAGCGAATGCATAAATCACCTGCTTATTGCAATCCCATTATCAACTGGTTTTTGCATTTCAAAATGTTTTCCGAGGCGGTTCTATTAATCAATTAGCAGCTCACTTTTATGGGACCACGAACTTGGCCAAAACAAAAATATATACCAATCTTCCGCAACGAAAGTAAAGTTACCGAAAGTAAAGTTCATTAACACTGGGTAATCGGCTGGCTTTTCGATACCTCCTCCCATTACGAGCTGCGATCTCAGAAATTAGCACCTGTTCGACGATTGTTTGCCATAGCAATCTGAGGTCCAGGGTCAATATCACTAACTGGAGCATCATCTCAGATACTTTAAGATAGAATTTAGGAGAACTGCGTTCTTGACTCACCATCGTGGTCCACATTCATCTCGATGGCATTGCCCAGGAAGGGCATGGCAGCCGGTCCGGGGATCCTTTCGATGTGCTTCACTAGACGCGCACGGCGCTTGTTGTAGACCACCAGGAAAATCGCGATGGAAGCCACCAGGAACACCGTAATCGGAGAGTAACCCGATATCACTTGACCCATTTTCGTAAGCAAAAGGCTCTCGGCCATCAGCGAGGTAAACACTTTCGAGGACATCTTGGCAGAGTCTCTGTCTGTCCAAACTATTCACTTTCAATATACGTATGTATATATTAGTTGATATATCCTGATCGCACGGAGATCGAAACCGGACCCGGTAAAATACCCAAAACGATTCAAGCGCTGCGAACTCCAATAGACAACTAACCGAAAGCCCGAGATTGCACAAAAATTTAAAAAGAAGTGCTAAAAAATTTCGGGCCAAACGTTTCGGGTTTCGAGCTCTCGTCGCGAGCTCGGCTTTGTATCTGTATCTGTATCTGAATCCGCACGCTGTATCTCCATGTATTGGTGAGTATCTCGATCTCTATGCCGGCTAAGGTTGTATTGGTCAGAGCTGATAGACACAGATACTAGGTTTATTCAGCCACAAAAACTGAGCATTCGCCTTGCATTCGCATTGTTGCCTAGATGACTGGGCTTTTTGGATGTTTATGGAACCTAAATGCACTGCATTCGAGAGATACGATTTCATATGTGACGTCTGTGTACCTTTTACTACACTAAAGGGTCTCTAAAGTATAGAAATTTAACTCATCTTTCATAAATAGATAAATTCACTGTTTTCTTATTATTTTCAACAGGTTTTCCTAGAAACCTATTAAGATTGAACTTGAACCAATTCTGGTTCTTTATTTAAATACAAGTTTGCTAGAAAAATACAAATACTGAAGATTTCAAAGTGAATCTTGTCTCTTAGCAAAATTAAATTGATCAGAAAGAAAATAAACATAAATATAACAGAATAACATTACATTATATAACTGAAATTTAAACAAATAATTGACCAAATTTCCGTAAGCAGAGGCTCATTTCAATTAATAAACCGGATTGTTCAGGCGCATGCAAAAGTTCATTTAAAAATTTGAAATCGTACACGTGCTTTAATATATATTATTCAGTGATAAGAACAGTTGTCACATTTATTTTAATTATATTTAAATGCGACTGTAAAATAAGGTTCAAATATGAGATATCTATAATTTGATTGATTTGAATTATTCATTTTTTTATTTATATATTTATTTGATTTAATTATTCATTTACTCAGTTAAATAAATTCTTAGATTTCTAATTGCAAGAGTAGTTAATCTTCGTCATGGTTGAGTCAATTTTTGGCAACTTTTCTCATTATTTTATTATGGCTTTTTATTCATCGCCCTTGTGCCTGAATGGCAAACTTCAAACATCGAAAGCTAAGATCTCAGTTAAGAGAGTTAATTGCGATGGGCGGCAACATGTCAACCCTTTTTAAGCCATAGAAGCAGATCATATAGTTATATAGCCTTGGCTAGAGATTGGGTTTGGGATGAAGCTGCTCGATTCTACGATCGCTCATTAACTGCAAGCAAGTTTGGATTTCATTATGCGAATGCAATTAAAACGGGCTTAAGCGCACTGTCACGTCCGCAAGTAGACACTTTACAATGGGAGCGTTTAATTTGAGGAGCGTTTAGCTCAGAAATTGGAGTGGAACCTTCCCGAGGTGACGACGCAGAAGCTTCTTGGACAATTAGCGATCGCTTGACATGGAGATCGATTCAGAGATTGACAACCAATATTTGATTGTCTATCGCATGTTAAATGTAACCAAGGTTAGAGGAAGTTTCCTTGGCTCAGCCGAGACTCGTGCCCGTTCTTATTGATGGCAATGATGGCGGTGGAACCAGCGCAACCCGTTTTGAGGTTCTTAGTTAACCAAATTAATTTTATTTCGTGGTTCGCATTTTGGGATTCGTTTTTTTGTGTAAGCCTCGAGGAACCTGTTCCAATAGAACGAATCCCTCGTATAGCCAATGCATAACTAGAGACAGATTTTAATACCAGCTTCCCGGCACTCCAGAGTTTTGTGACATAATCCCAGAGAAAGAATGGGAATGAAATAAATTATAAAACCGGACTCTAGACTCCATTTTCAAATATCACAATAACAAGCTAGCGAAAGAGTTTGGTCAAAAGGTCAGGGACCATATAGATGGTAACTCTTTTTATAAAAATATTCGATACCTAATCCATGGCTCATTACAGGCACCTATGTATTTCTGGTTAGGGAAACGAGCGATTACGACACACAAAGTCTGAAAATAAAGTCTAGGAAGTGGAAGAAACCGTCGCCAGCGACTCGTTCTTTAATTAAAGAAGAATTAACAGCTTCGCGGGGGAAAAGCGGATTGCCAAAATGCCGAGTCACTGCTGGCAACCACTTCTGTTTTCATTTGACCATTTTATCATCCAATTCTGCGTATTTCTGTCTGTCTGCAACTCCACATCAGATTAGAGCAGAACTTGAAGAATATCGTACTTTAAAACTCAAGAAATTCATAGTTGCTCAGGGGCTTCCCCTTGGCCAGGTAACATATATGTAGGTAGGTAGGTAGGGGGCCTCTTTGTCTTGTTTTGGTTTTCCGTTTGGCATTTTATTGAAATATTTTGTTTGTTTTTCGTATGTTAATGTGCCTACGTGCAGCTGATCAATGACTGATTTGCAGCATATCCAAGTCCAAATCCGATCGGTGAGCATCTCGCATGTCGGTGCTAATAAGCGTCGAGTTTCTTGAATGACTTTATGTGGAGGGCCATCCTCTATCTTCAGAGTTTTCAAGATCAAGGGCATTATGAGGCCGGTCTTCATTCATCTTCCTGCTCAGCCAAGTTTTTAACGGAGCAAGCAAAGAGGTTGTGGTTTGGGAAAATATTATCATTTTACTTTGAATACACTTCACAAAAGGTACAATTTTGGAAAACAATCATTGCTACAGAAATGATTTATATATATAAATTTTTGTACTCTTTAAATTTATACGAAATAAAGATCGATTTATGCACTAATTAATGCAATTATAATTTTAAGTACTCACATTATAATTATAGGAACTCAGTACACAAAAATATATATCTAAATATTAAATAAATATTATATATATATATGACTATTATATATATAAAGAGGAAAATAAATATAATATTTAAAATATCCCTCAATTAAATACATTTAAAATATACTATAATTTTAACTCGAATTATAATATAATATTTCTATTATTTGTATTTCTGTCTCAAGGCAAGTAAAAAGAAAAGTCACCCTTAAACGACACACATACAATCACATTACAGCAAGGGGTGTTTGTTGTTATATGTGAGAGTGAGAAAATTTCTCCTGCTTTCACTCTTATAATTCCCAACTAGTTCTGGCATCAGGCTCATGGAGACCCTCGGTCCGAGCAGCGAAAAGCATACTTACCTGGCGTAGAGGTTAACCGTGATCACGAAGGCGGTTCCTCCGGAGTGAGGCTCGGCCATTGCACCTCGGCTGAGTTGACCTCTGCGATTATTCCTAATGTGAATAACTCGTGCGTGTAATTTTTGGTAGCCGGGAATGGCGTTCGCGCCGTCCCGACATTAATAATGCATCTCATAATATAAAAATAAACGTAGCTCTTAGTTCTGCTAACATGTGATCAAGTTATTCGAAATTTAGGTATTGAAATCAATAATAATTTGTAGAGTTTGAATTTAGCAAATTTACAAGAGTCTTAAGAAACAACACATTTTCACGATTATTATAGTAAGCCATCTAGTTAGTTAAAGGACAAGTTTGATAAATATTCATTTTAATAATGATTTACGATTGAATATTTAATTTCATTTAAACAAATTTAAAAATGGTTTTTAACAGATAAAAATGAATTAATTTTTACTTTTTGAAAACAATTATTACTAAATTCTGATACTATTTGTTGTTATTATTTGTTATTAAGTGGCCATGAGAGTAAATAGAAGTTATCGTTGTCAATAGAGTTTTATACTTTATGACTTAATTAAACCAATTACAAACAGCTTAGTCTCGAAATTCCAGCATTAATATTATAAACTAATTATATTCGATTCATTATAATTTTGTATTAAATGGAGTTATTCTCAATAATCTCATGACTGATCAACCAAAAAGTACTTACGTTTGGCATCGATTTATTTTAGAAATTAATACACAGAGAGACAATATAATTCTTCATTAATGTTTAAAGAAATACGAAGAAGAGATGAACATAATTAAGAAAGTGTAAAATATACGTCGACTCGAGCTCGGTTAATATCATAAGCTATCCAGTTCGATCGAAAAAGGTAATCACCTGTGGGGAAGGGCAATACTTCTGTTACATGTCGGTTGGTAAAATTGACCGGCAATTTATCAACTATAAGATCGTGCTGGATATATATGGAAGATAATTAATAACTCCAATTTGTAATAATATCCCCTTACATTAAAGGGGCAAGTGTGGTTCATATTGGAATAATCCCTGAAGAATCCATACAAGTAAATTCCGATTGGGTTCGATTGTGGATTTTTCAGAAATCGACAGGCGTCCACAGTGACATTGTAGAGAAAGGTCCTATAGACACTATATCGTTTCTGCAACTCAATATTAACCTGAAAAAGACGATTTCTTAATTAAAAATATACATTTGGTAATATACACAAAATACACACTTTAACTTTGTTAATATTCCCTTCACTAAGTTTAACCTTTAGGGATAGGTACTTATAATGGCGATTCACAGATTTCAAAAAGCAATACTCAAAATTTGCAAAATCCGTGTCCAGGGAATTGCATTTAATGTTGGTAAACTCCACCTTAGATATAATCTGAAAGATTATTAAATCAACTTGGTGCACTGGACAAAGGACACAATTTTTACATTGTTTATCAAGTTCAGGCAAACAATCAGCTGAATGAAACGACTGCTTCGGAGAAACATTTTTGAGAGACTTACAACATTTGATGTCAATTTGATTTTATATTTTTTCATCTGGTAGACTACATAAATAATTCAAGCAATTATTATTTTTTAGTCTAACTTAATGACTTAATTAGACAATGCATTAAGGGGAGGAAATAAGTGCCGTAATGAATGTCGAACTGCGGTCCAATGAGTGTTATTTCAAAATTCGATCGATGGGGCCTTTTGGTATATATTTGAGTATATTTTCTATACCATCTAAAATAAAAAAAAAGTCAAATACATCTTTTACTAATTTTTGTTTTGAAGTCCGTACTCATTTTTTATTTAGAGACCAATGCAAAAACATTTATTGAAACCTTAGTAGGTACGCTGGTAAAATCAGTTTAATTTTTAAGAGAGTGTAAAATATAAATTCATCTTTGCCCGATTAATACCATAAGCCATCCAGTTCGATTTTACAAGGTAATTACCGGTAGGTACTGGCAAAACATGTGTTAAACGGTAATCCATAAAACTAATAGGTACTTTATCGACTATTAAATCGTGCTGCAAAAATACGGAACGAAATATTATTTTTAGATATATTTGAAATGAGCTCTATGTATCTATGTACGTACATCAAAAGGGCAGGTGTGGTTTATATTAGAATAATTGATAAAAAAGCCATAGATGAAGTCTACGAAGGGGTTCGACTTAGGGTTCTTCAAAAATCGGCAGGCGTCTACAGTAACGTTGTACAGCCAGGGTTTATAGCCATTAAATCGCTGTAACATTTCGAAATTAACCTGGAGAGATAGAATTATTAAAAAAAAATTTTTTGTAAAGCTAGTACACACTGTAACTTTTGTGATGGGTATCTTGAAAAGATTCGTCTTTAAAGAAAAGTATTTGTAGCTTCGATTCACGGATTTCAAGAAACAATACTCAAAGTCGGCGAAGTCCTTGTCCAGCGAAGTGCATTTGATGTTGGTTAACTCCACCTTGGATACACTCTGTAAGAATATTAATTAAGCCAATGTACATTTAATATGGGATAATAACAAACTGACCGAAACCACATAATTGGGAAAACATTTTTAATTAAATTATTGAACGTATGTATATTTTACTTCTATTAGACAGAATATATTAATATCCTTTTAATATATTAGACAATATATATGTATTTATGTTGTCAGCGAACTTTTTATATAGATTCACTTAAAGAGAATGGTATTTATAACTCCGATCCAAGGACTTGCTCTTTACTCTTGTAAATTTCACTCCCACTAATATTAATTTCAATTGACACATTTTTAGAGGATATAATTCCATACCACGTTGAGTAAATACAGAAAACTTAGGAGTTGAAATAAACGAACTCTGGGTGAAACCATTTTAACAAGATACACATGAAGCGATTGACTTCAAAATGTTATATATGCATACGAAGTCCAAATTTATATATTTCGAAAATAATAGATTAGGGTCTAATGATCCATATATGTATATCATTATTATTTCAAATATTTTCTTTAATTAAATATTTGAACAATTGACGTTTAATGGGTTTTAATGGGGTTGTGCAGTATTTAGAAAGTAAGAGGATAATTCGGAGTTATCTTCTGCTATCGTTTTTAAATATGTAAACTAAATATTCAATATTGCGCGAATGTTAACGAGCTTCCAGCATTTAACTTTCCGAGTTCTTGGCTCCAATGGATGTCGTACAGAAATAAGTGTGGCAAACTTGTTTGATCTTCGATGAACCACTGCTGCTCGGCATCCCCACAAAGCAGTTCAATGGGTCAAAGCTAGCATCTTCGATGTCTCTGGGCTTCAGATCGATGCTTCTTAGCTGAGTTACTTCTATGCACACTTGAACTTGATCTGGATGCTGGGATAATTAAATGCGATGGAATACGTGCGGAAGAAGAAGTCGAGAAGCCGAAGCCTTCGCCAAAAGTCCGCAATAAAAGCGTTGTAGATTTTAACTATAGCTTCAACTGTTTCGCCTGGCTTTTGTTATTGTTGCTAGCTGCTGGCGTTGTTCCGTTCGTTTATTGCCATTAGCCAGCAGAGTCAGCATTTGACTCACAAATTATGGCCAGCGACTTGTATTTTCCACGGCGATCGTTGTTGCCGCCGAATTGATTAGCTCGCATTTGGCTTTGGGCTTGGGCCAGAGAGCTAGCGGTCTCTGGGTCCCTCGATAAGGTCAAGTTCATTTCCGCATAGCGAGCTTCGATGTTTCTACCTCAGATTTAGCTGTACTGGCCAGGTGAGTAAATGGAATTGCAGTCGATTTCATGGGAAGGGAAATTGCACAAGAGGTCAGCCGGACAACTGGAGTGGCCGTAAAACAATTAGCCATTAGACGCGGCCAGATGTGACGCACTTTCGGCCTGTCGCCGCAATCGCGGCAATTACTCGTCGAGTTTGCTAACTCTCATTACAATCTCTCCGCGGGTCACGCAACAGTCTTTGCTTGGCCCTTTGCCTCTCGATCTCACCTGTGACCGTGTGAACTACTGAACTACCGAAAGTTTCCCTTTCACAATCGGTCTTGAAGGTTCTTAAGTTGGATTTTTAAACATGTGGAAACTCTAAAATATGTTAATACATGAATAACCAATAGAAGAGAAAATATAGCTCCATTAAGAAATTACCATATGTTAAGGAGATAAATATATACTAAGGCTAAAGTATGTAATTTAGTTATTCTTGTCCATTAAATTTAAGTGAGTTGGCGTTTACCCTTCACTGTTGAACTTGGTTGTTCTTGGGGGTCTACATAATTGGCTAAATATCTGCCAATGGTCAAGTGCATTGTCTAGCCGCAGTTAACCCTCTAAAATCCAGTGTATTTAAAATGTTAAGTTAAAAATTAACTAAAAAAGAAATATAAATCAAAAAGGTATTGCAATAATAATAATACTTATTATAAAGACAGTTATAAGGTGACAATGGTATAATTAGATATTTAAGTAAAAAGTTATTATTAAAAGGAAATAAAGGTCTTATAAAATATAGTATTCTAAATACAGAGCATACTTTTTCATAGTCTCTCTATTTATCCATTTTTAATATTTTTAAATCTTTAGTTATTGTAACACATCTTTATCGACCTGCAGCGGGTTAATCTCTGTCAAAGAGCCGAAATGCAGGCCAGGCAGTTAGCTAAAACCCAGGGTCAACGCGACCAGTTTCAGGTTTCCTTCTAAGCTCAGAAGCCCCTGGCCAGCCGAATCGTTGGTTTTGACACAGATATATCCATAGCCATATTGGACGGATCGGGCCTTGCATATGGCATTTCGTTTGGCAAACAGCAGACTATCAGCCACCGTGTTGCGGCCACCAGATGGCCTCGACTTTCAATCGCAGCCACGTCCACTGGCTCATTGTCAGGCCCCCTCGAGAATGTATCTCGCATTCTTTTCGAATGTATCTTTAAGATGTTTCTCACACTAGGCTTGATACGCACTGGAATTACAAACCGATAGACATCGCATTGCCTGAGAAATGTGTTTGCCGGCAATTATTACCGCGAGGGATGATGCATTTCCCAAACATTACATCTGGGCAGGCTCACATCAATTAACCCGCTATTACAATAGAATTTTGTTCAGCTTCTGAGCGACTCAATCAGAGGTGGCCGGACAAAGGGGGTTAAGCGATGGGGCCGGCGAGCTTTTAGGGGCGTTTTAATAACCGCGCTAAAGTTCAAGAACATCGCTGATGGTTATTGTCATAGTTTTGCCGCTGCGAATATGTAATTAAATCTGCGGATTGCAATCGATTATAAATACGTTTTGAGGCATTTGCGGAGGCATTTCATGAAGGTTTCGTTTGGCCGGTGATTGAGTGATTTGTTAAATGGTTATGGGTGTATGAGCTCTACTTTGTTTTTATAGCAATTAGTTTTTTAAAACTTACGAATATTTTATACATTAACAACTCAATATATATATTGTTGAATTTTAGCCACATATTATATAACCTCCAGGGAGCTAAGAAAGAAAAAATCCTAAAATCATGAACCTTATTCAATAATCACTAAACAAAACAAGTTGAACCTTTAATTCATGTAGGTCGCCCAGGTTTATGTAAACTTTTTAATAATAAAAAATTCAAATCAAAAATATAATACCCTGCAAGGGTATAATGAAAACAAACAAATGTTTAATTACTAATATTATTGTTATACAAATAGAAGACAAACATGCATTCAGGTTTTTATTTAAAACCTCAAGTTGGCGCGTTTCTTACCTTTTTTGGCAGTATGGCAACGCCAATTTCAATTTTTATTTCCGCATCAAGTGGCAACACTGGTTCAAACACACAATAAAATTATGTAGTGAAATTAATTAATTAAATGCACAAAACGTATCCTTGTTTGACTCAAGCAAACAAAAGCGTAATATTTTCGCAAATGTGAAAAAAACTAAGTACTTTGAGACGTAGTGTAACACTGTGAAAATACCAATTTAGTAGTACCATTTGCAAAGGCAAAAGCAGCCAAAAACAAATATTCAAGCACAGTCACACTGCAAATAAAAATTTACTCAACAACTCGACTATATTCGTTGCAATATTTGCACTTGCATTCATAACTCTGTCCAGATATAAACTCGTGATTAAAACCAGCCAGCAACTCCGCCTACTTTCCGCATTGATAAAAGTTAAAGCCGAGAAAATGCAACGCGCTGGCCTCCTGGCCGTTTTGGCACTTTTCTGTGCCTTCGGTAAGTGCCGAAAGGGAATGGGGAAACTATTTAGTCACAGCTTATTGCGTATTTGCACTGTGCACCCCATTCGTTACTCTTCATTCGTCATTCGTCCGTATTCATCTCTGCGCTTTGTTCTCGTATTCTCCGCAGGCTGCTTCGCCGCTGCCACGCCCCTTGTGGGATCCAGCAAATGCACCTGGGGACCCTCGTATTGGTGCGACAATCTCAGGTGAGTCTCCAGAAATCGCTTGGTCATTGGACGTTCGAGGAAAATTTCTAGAAGATAGAGGGGTAGAGGGATCGGAAAACATTAACTGTTAACCCCTTTAACCCCACAATTGTCTCTTTTATTTTCCCTCTCTTGTTCACTGTTTTGCGCTTTTGTTGTTGTGTTTCCCTGCCGATAAGACTATCTCGAATCGGGCTGTATGTAGTCTTTAAAGCTCTATCAAGCGATAACCCCTGTTATTGCAAACTTAGGACTAGGTGACGCTCCAATTGCGCCCTCTTTTTGCCGATACACAGGGCGAAAATATTGACTTCTGTTCCCATTTTTGAACTGATAACAAGGTTCATATTTTAATACGGTTCAGGTTTATGTTTTTCAAGCTTCGCTTGTAACTACTACAATTATATTATTATTTACATACCTCAAACAGTAGAATTTCTAATTTAAGCTTGAGAAAAGTATTTGTCTGCACTTTATTTGCACAACTATTAATATTGTACACTATTTATGTACATAGCTTGAGTAGATAGCATCCTATTATATACCAGCTTTGCTTACATTTAGTTCGAAGGTTTTAAACTAGTTTGGAAATATAGTTTTAATCATATATCGGATAAAGAATTTGTAATTAATTTTTTCTCCCTGTGCATGTTTTTTTGCATTCCCCCTTGTTCTTAGCTCGTTCCCTATTCGGTGCAACCCCGTTGCTTTTAGTTTCGGTTAAAATTAAATTATCAGAATGCCGACCAAATGTGCCGACAGCTGACAAGTAAAGTTAATCGCGTTTTAAGGGGAAGCTTGAACAGCATGAGTTTTATTTGGATGAGTAATCCCAAAGTCCAGATCTTTTTACACTCGCTGCAATCCGAGGCAGGCCTCCCTTTCGCTTTTCCTCTCTTTTACCGCAAATGACGCGCATAATCGAGGCATTTATCATCACAAAAAATTCCCTATCATCAGATTCTGACTAATCCCACATAAAGGGGGACCATTTAAAGTCAGACTTTACTTTTCTTGATATTGTAACCATACACAAAAGTAGATTATGTTAAATTAAAATTTGTTTATTTCAATGGATTTTAGTGTGCATTTTTATACCCTGTATACTTGTTTAAAAATGTGATTGTGTAAATAAGAACCAGCTTAAAAATCCTATAATAATTAATAATTAATAATATAATATAAAAATATGTTCCTTTGTTGAATTTTCCAACCGAGATTAATTTCATCTTCAGTTCGATTACTTATTTGCAAAATAAAACCCATAGGCAACTGAAAACTTTTGTTAAGCGGGCGCACTGCTCTTATCGGTGGTCATAATTCCTTTGTTTATTGATTGGTTTATTTTTAAACGCCAAGGAAAATCAGCTTCGTTCCCAATGCCTCTTAACTGTTTCTTTGTTTGTCAATTAACGGCAAAAAATTGCAAAGCCTTAAAATTTGAAAACGTCGCCATTGCTGTGAAATTTTTAAAAACAATATCAGTGAGTGCGCAGACATCTTTATAATATATACAGATATTTATATGTGGATATGTCCAGATATTCATATGTACACATGTATGTGTTTGTTTCCGTGCTTATCATTGCTGTTTTCTTTGCTTTCTAGACGCTTTTGTTTGAAATTCACTGAGAGTGCTTCCAACAGACAGGCATTCATTCGCTGATGTTTGTAAAAATTAACACCTTGCAGGCAAAAGCAACGTTTATAGGGGAGTAAATTGATATAAATTGATTGAATATTGAATAAATAATAAAAAATAAATATATTAGGGAGGTTCCTTAAAAATTCATAAGTCAAAGCTAAGCGTCAAATATTCGCATTCTTTGAATCCATATTTATCGATTTTTTAATTAGTTGATAACAAATCAAAGTTTTAACAAAGTCATAACTAAGCCAAAAAAATCACTAATTTTAATTTGGAAACCTTTCCAATGTTTTTTAGTTAGGTCAACAAATCTGCATACTCAAATTTAAATTTTAAAAAAAATTTTATTTTTGTAAAATTTTGACAATTTTAACGATGTAACCCCTTATAAAATTTTTAAAATTTTGAACATTCTGTTTCTTCTTCTGAGACAGCTAGAACGAAGCGGCTGTTGATGTTGATCAAGAATATATATGATTTATAGGGTCAGAAATGACTCCTTCACAATGTTACAAGCTTCTGACTAAAACTAAATTAACCGTCAAGAGTATATTGATCACTCATATAATGATTCATGATTATTATGTATTTACCCTAAACAGCGCACCCTTATCCAGCATAATCATGTGAGCTGCGGGTGCATTCAACCACGCTGTACTCAGTGGTTTCTCCGGCCTCTTAGTACACTCTAATCTCTGCTGACTGGGTCCGTTTCGACTTGGTTAGTCGATTATGAATGCGGGTCATTTGATCCATAGTCTCCGGGTTTCTGCATTGTCAGCTCGTGTCCCTACTCTCTGGCATATCATATGAATATTTTCTGAACTCATATACTCAATACAAATTCCTTATATTCCGTTCTCTTTTCCAGCAATTCCAAGGAATGCCGTGCTACCCGCCATTGTATCCAAACCGTGTGGGAGACTCGCGAGGTGCCCGAAGATACGGACTCGATTTGTCAGATATGCAAGGATATGGTCACGCAGGCCCGCGACCAGCTGAAGAGCAACGAGACCGAGGAAGAGCTCAAGGAGGTCTTTGAAGGTTCCTGCAAGCTGCTCCCCATTAAGGTGGTGCAGAAGGAGTGCATCAAGATGGCCGATGATTTCCTGCCAGAGTTGGTCGAGGCCTTGGCTTCCCAAATGAACCCAGATGTGAGTACCTCTATCATGCTTTCTATTTTTATCCAAAACTCATTTTATCAAACCTTTAGCAAGTTTGTTCTGTGGCCGGACTTTGCAACAGTGCCCGCATAGATGAATTGATGAAGAAAGCATACCAGGCGGCTCTCGATGGTACTCTGAAGGAGGACGATGTTGCCGAAAGCTCCGAAGAGACCGAGGTGTCTCTGAAACCGAATCAACTGTCTTGCGGCAACTGCAATCTGCTCTCTCGCATGATGCACTCCAAATTCGCGTCCTACAATCGTGATGATATGGTGGAGCAGTTCCTCCATGTGTGTGGCTCCCTCTCCAGTTTCTCGGATGCCTGTGCCAACATCGTGCTGACCTATTTCAACGATATTTACGATCATCTCAGCAAGCACTTGAACACCGATGCCGTCTGCCATGTGTCGGGAGTGTGTGCCTCCAAGTACCATCAGCACGAGGAGGACAAGCAGCCCCAAGAGGCTTTGGTTGCTCTGGATGCCGGTGATGATATTCCCTGTGAACTGTGCGAACAGCTAGTTAAACACCTCCGCGATGTCCTGGTGGCCAACACCACGGAGACGGAGTTTAAGCAGGTTCTGGAAGGATTCTGCAAGCAGTCGCGCGGCTTCAAGGACGAGTGCATCAGCATCGTGGACCAGTACTACGACGTGATCTACCAGACGCTGACCAACAAGCTGGACGCCAACGGAGCCTGTGTCATGATTGGTATTTGCCAGAGAAACTCCGCTTCCGCAAAGAAGGATGTTCCCATTATGCCCCTGCTGCCCGCCATTGAGCCCGCCCAGGTGAAGATCACCATTGAGAAGCTGGAGAAACACGAGCGTAAGCAGCTGGGTGCCAATGAGCCAAAGTTCACCCAGCAGCAGATCCAGGACATGCAGCTGCCCATCGACCACCTTATGGGTGCACAAAACCCCGGAGCGCTAGTTAATGGTGGTGAGCTCTGCACCATCTGCGAGTACCTGCTGCACTTTATTCAGGAGACGTTGGCCACCCCATCCACCGATGACCAGATCAAGCAAACCGTGGAAAACATTTGCAGCAAGCTGCCTCAGGGTGTGGCCGGTCAGTGCCGCAACTTTGTGGAGATGTACGGCGATGCAGTGATTGCCCTGCTCGTCCAGGGACTGAACCCGCGCAGCGTGTGCCCCATTATGCAGATGTGCCCGCGTAATCTTCCCAAGAGCGAGGATGTCGAGGTGTTCCACCCGTCGCCAAAGCCCGTCAACGATGAGCAGGATGTGCCCACCTGCCCGTTGTGTCTCTTCGCCGTGGAGCAGGCCCAGGCCAAGATCCGTGACAACAAGTCCAAGGTGGGTTTGGCATCTCTTTTGACAATTTACTTTGTACTTAGTTTAAAATTTTTCCACCCTGTAGGAGAACATTAAGAAGGTTCTGAATGGATTGTGCGCCCACTTTGACAACAAGCTGAAGGACGAGTGCGTGGACTTTGTCAATACTTATTCCAATGAGCTGATTGATATGCTGATAACCGACTTCAAGCCCCAGGAAATCTGCGTTCAACTCAAGCTCTGCCCCAAGTCCAAGGACACGCTCGCCGACATGGGCATTAGTTTGGAGGATGACGTTGATGGCGAAGACACCTCTAGCAGCGAAGAGGAGGGCGACCACTTTAACGAGATCGAGACTATGGACGAACTGCCCCCTAAGCTCGCCTTTGACGAAGGCTTCAGCGCCTCACCTAATTGCCTAATCTGTGAGGAGCTGGTAAAGACCGTCGAGAAGAAGATGGGCAAGCATCCCACACGGGAGAGCATCAAAAAGATCCTTGATCAGGACTGCGATAAATTGAGGAAGCCAGTGTCCGCCAAGTGCCACAAGATTGTTGAGAAATACGGCGACACCATTGCCGATTTGCTACTCAAGGAGATGGATCCCAAGCTGATCTGCACCGAGCTGGGACTGTGCCTGTTCAGCGACAAGGATGACTGTAAGTATCCAAGCTGTTCATTCCTCCTTACTCGAATTTAAACATGCTCCCATATGACAGTGGAAATGGACGAGGCTTTGAAATACGATGTGATTGCACTACCTAGCAAAGACGACCAGCTGGCAAAGATCACGGAGCCGCCAACCTGTGTTCTGTGCGAGTTCATCATGACCAAGCTGGAGGCCGATCTGAAGAACAAGACCGAGCAGGATGATATCAAGAAAGCACTTGAGGCGGTGTGCAGCCACCTGCCAGCCACTATCCGCAAACAGTGTGACAGCTTTGTTCAAGGTTACGCCTCCGCGGTAATCGACCTTGTGAGCAAGGTGCCGCCCAAGGAGGTCTGCCAGAAGCTGCAGCTCTGCTTCAGCCTGGCAGTCACCGACGAAGTAGTGGAATGCGGCGTCTGTCACGGCGTCACCCAGGTCCTATTGCCATTCCTGCGCGAAAATGAGGAGAACAAGGAAGCCACAGCGCTGCAGATGACATCGACGGCCTGCGAGAACTTGCCAGCCAAGTACTACAAGATTGTAAGTTGAAACCAAGCATTAATTTAAGATATCTTTAAATAAATGAAATCTTTATCCTGTTTTACAGTGCTCTGAGATGATCTCCATTTATGGAAACAGCATCAAGAATCTGGCCAAGCGATCCTATGTCGATCAAGCGCATGTGTGTGCTGAGATTGGTAAATGCTTTGACAGCGAGAAGTCCTCGCTTGCATATGCTAGACTTACAGGTAAACTAAAGCCCTTTAAGCCTCTAAGCCTCTCTTTAAATCTTAATTCTAATATATTTTACAGCCTAAGATCGTAATTCAATTGAGTGATTTGTTGTGATGCGTGCAAAAGAAGAGGAGTAGAGGGATTAGAAGCAGGAGGAGAATGCGGCCCACGCTTTATATATCGCATATACCTTTACATATATCTGTTTATACATTCTTTAACGATTTACTGTAAATGAACGACCATTACTTACCTTTGTTTCCGTACCCTGTTTTGGCTCTAAATTTGTTAGGAGAATTTGTGATGAAACTGATTTTATAAATGCACTCGATCGAACCGGGCTGAAAAAAGTGAAACTTAACTGAAACTAAAACTAACCCTAAGCAGTAACCCTAAATCGTACTACCCATATACAAATTAGCGAAATCAAAAACCACTAACTTTGTATGTCAGTCAGTTAAGCAGTGTGTGTAGTTTAAGTATATCAAAGAAAACTGTGTAAAATACGAACATTGATCTTATATAAATCATAAAGAAAATCGAAACATAAACAAAGCAGCAGTTCATTGAATATTCCCTGAAGTTTATATACTTCTTACCCAAAATGTTTGAGAATACACTGCTCATCATCAAGCCGGATTACATGCACAAGCGGCGGCCAGTGCTCCTTAAGCTGCTGTCCGAGGGATTCCAGCTGCAAGGCAATCGCAAGCTTTCCTTTTCACCGGAATTAGCTGCTGAGTTTTATGCAGACTATGCCGATGAGAAGGGTTTCATGCTGGAGGTGATTCTGCTCTCCAAAGGGATCTCGGAGGCCTTCATTGTTACCAAAGAGAATGCCGTGCAGGATTTGCTGAATATCATGATTTGTTACTTGTGAGTTCATTCTGAGTTTGTCATTCGACTTCTTGTAAGTAAAGATTAAATATGTAGCGGTTCGTGCTCGGATCTGGAACGAAATATTCATGTTACCAAAAATAGCAATTGCGTGGCTCGCGAGATTAACTTTATATTTCCAAATTGTAAGTGGAAAGTATATTTGGTTGTTACTGAAAAATTAATTTTAATTTTATAATAGACATACATGAGCCACATGAAATGTTCGATCGGAAAAACTTCTGCACTCGCCCGATGCTAAAACCCCTACTCGAGGAGATCTACGACATTCTCCAGAACGAAGATTGCAGCCAGGATAACTGGAAGGTTCGCGTGTCCGACTATTTGGTGCGCAGCAATCCAACGGTGCCACAGATAACCAATCAGTGTCAAGTGCGACCGGAAACGGGCATCCAGGAAAAGTCGCAGCAAACGACCATGACCTATGCCCCCAAGCCGAGTGCAGCGGGTGTGCCACCCCGCGCAAAGAAGACCGAGAGCACCAGCTCTCCTCTGTCATCCACTTCACCACATTCATCCATGCTGCTGTCCAGCTCATCGTGTGTCACCTGCGGAGGATTTGAGAGGACGGAACCCGGTATCTCGGAACTTGATCTCAATAAGCGCGTGGAGCCGCATGACGCTGAAGAGATCTGTGTGGACGAGGAGATCCTCTGGAGGGAGGTTGTTGTGTACGAGGAGATTCAGCCCGAAGAAGAGGAGTCCAGGGAGGGACACCTTGACCTCGAGGGTGAAGGAGAGGGCGGGCCTAGTGCCTCGGATGTGGAGTCGGACCAGAGTGCCAACGAACCTCCACGGCCCCCAAAGGAAGATGAAGGCTCTAGTGAAGAGGCTCCTGCTCCAGCACCAGCACCTGCTGAAGAAGCAGCTCCACCGGCACCTGATGCAGAAGCTGTTCCATCTCCTCCTCCAGCTCCTGAACCGGAGCCAGCTCCACAAGAAGCGGCTCCGCCGGCAGAGGAGGCTCCTGCTGCCGAAGAGGCTCCGGCCGCCGAAGCGGCTCCTGCTGCCGAAGAAGCTCCTGCCGAATAAGCTTATTTGACCTTTGCACCTGTTGCCACACAGCGTTTGTTTGTTTATTGAAGCATAGAAAAAATGGCCCCAGAATTCGCGCAATTTTTTGCAGCATCCCAGCGGCAACACGAACCACTGCATCGCCCCACCCACAGCAACACCTTCGAATGCGCACTCTCAGAATTAGGAAGGAGGAGGTTCAGCACTGCCCTGCAGTTTTTTTTTTTTTTGTTTCCACCCGGAAAGTGCAGCGACATCAACAGGAGGAACAGCCACGGCAGCAACAGCTTTTGGCCCTATTGCAAAAGCATAGGCCAAGTTTTTTTCTCTCCCTTCCAAGTGTCCAATAAAAAAAGCAGAAAAATAGAACAAACAATGGAACCCCAAATATAATTTGTGGGCCACAGTAAGCCTTGCATTTGGCACACTTTTAAGCTATGCAAAGTGGTTGCAATTAACCCAATTATGGGTATATTATGGAACTCCTACGGATTTGCAAATTTAATTCGTATTAGCTGTTTGATTAGGGAGTTCTAGGAATATTTTAAGACTTAAGGATAAAATAAATAACAGAAAATAATAAATATTATTGAAATGTTACAAAAATATGCTGATAATCCTATACAAAAAATGCATTTTTTATAGTTTTGTGCTCTTAACTGATTTTTGATTTTTTTTAAACAAAACATTAAGTATACTTTCCGTATGCTTATTAACCGGATAGGCTTTATATATGCTAGTAAAAAAAGAGCGGAAGTTCAGTAAATGTAGTTCCGACTTACAGGACATGGGGTACGCCCACCTGACGCAGGTGATTGTCCCGAACTAGGCTAAGCTAACAAACACCTTTGCTATGCACAGTGGCATGAATAGGGCAAAGGTATAAATATAGTCTTTTAAATATTTGTAGTGTTATAAAATTATAGTTATTAAAGACATTAAAACAAGGAACTTAAGAATGCGTACAAGCTTTCTGCATTTAAACACTACTTAAATACCTACTTCTTACTATATTAATTACTACATAGTTTAACATCTGATTTTTATTTTATATCGCTTATCACACTATAAAATATTTTAAGCCTTTTATATAATGCCTTATTATTGCTTATAATTCAAAACAATTTCTTTTTAGCTGTCTATCTTTTTATCTATCTATAAATCTATCTATCTTTTCTATATATCTATCTAACTATCCACTTATCCATCAATCCATCAATCAATCTATCTATCTATCTTTCTATCTATCTATCTATCTATCTATCTATCTATCTATCTATCTATCTATCTATCTATCTATCTATCTATCTATATTTCTATCTATATACATATCTATCTATCTATCTGCCCATCTAACTATCTGACTATCAATATATCTATCATCAATCTATCAATCTATCTATCTATCTAATTATATATCCATCCATCTATCTATTTCTATCTATTTATCTATCTATCTTTCTACCTATCTATCCATCTATTTATCTATCTATCGATCTATCTATGTACATGTATATCATCTATCTATCTATCTATCTATCACTACATTTAATAGATCCCCAACCCACTGTGACTCTATAAGCCGCCACCTCAGCAATTGAGATTGCGAAAAGTTGTTGTTGCGGGTGCGTGTTTCAATGCCAGACCGTTCCATTGCTCCCAGCAACCACCCCAGGAACGGCGGTAGTGGGAGCGATGATGGCCAGAGGAAAAGCTCTACGGACGCCGTGCGCTATGCAACGCTTTCTACGGGCCGCTTTCCACCCGTTTCCCCGTGCCAATTTCTGCGGCTTTTCTTCCGCATTTTTTGTTGTTTTTTATTATTTTATTGTTTTTATATTCGTCCAGGCAGGGCAGTCGGTATCTGTCCGGTGATTTCGTGGCCACCGCTCGTGTCCTGCGTCCTGGATAAGGGGTTCTTCTGAAAATAACAAATAATTACTCAAAATAATAGACGCCAAAGCTTTCGCCAGCGACTGCGCAGCAGGCGTCGCAGTCGCAGTCGCTGTCGACGTCGCAGTCAAAACTGAACAGAACTGAAAGAGAATTGAATCGGTTTCGCAATACATACACAAACAATAGGCGCTGGGAAGTAGACGACGGCGAATCCTTGGCGGCTCAGCATTTCCACCGAATTCGCGTCGAGGAAAAGCGGAAAATCGGAAAAGCGGAGCGGAGTCAGCAGTCAGCGGCCATTTCGTATTGATTTTCAAGTGTGGTAAGCGGCAGCGCCAAGAAAAACGTTGAAAAAGACTCGGGAAAAACACGGTTAAAGCCCACCAAATGGCAGTGAAAAGGCCGAAAGCAAATGTCAATGGCCAAGCGATATAAGGAAAAAAAAAGCCAAAGGGGGGGTGGTGGTTGTTGAAGGAAGTGACAAAAAAGAGCCAGTGCAAAAAAGTGGCTACTAAAGTGCAAAGTAATCGTGTGTGAAAAGTGTACACCCAAAAGTGCTGACCAAAAATAGTGTAGGAAAGCCCAAATTGTGCGTTAAATATAGCGCGCTTAAAAATAAATCCGGGCAGACACGGAAAAGCCCCAAACCTCAAGTCCAGAAAAGCCTAGAGGCGAGAGGCGGTAGGAGGTAGGCATGAGGAAGTGGAAGCCCAAAGAAGCGGAAGAGGAAGAAGCGGCCGGCATACACACACAACCACAAGGGGGGTGGCAACCCTACACCCAGAAAAAAGGGGGATGGCTTCGGCTTCGACTTCGACAGCGGCCAAAAGCTCAAGTCACAAATTTTTGCGCAAGGGCAGGCCGCACTGAGTCGAGTCCGAGAGTCGAGTGCTTTTCCGCCAGGGGGGTGGATGTCGCTGCCTCAGCCAGCGTTGACGCTGGCGTCGACGAAATTTCGCAACACTCGCACAACACACACACGGCACAATACACTCCCCCACAGTTTACAGTTCCAGCGGTCGTTTGTTAGGGGTGGCATTGCTTGGGTTCCGGGAACACAATGGGAATGGCACAGGCAGCGAAGAGGAGAAGACGGTGACTTAAATACCCTTGCACTGATAAAGATCTTGCGAATATATAATACCCTAAATAGTGTTGATAATTAATGGAAAGATCATGGTAATATATAAATCCTAACTAGTGATAAAAATTAATGGAAATGTAATAAACAAACAAATAATGAATTGTGATCTTTGGAAACTGTTAAATAGTTTAATTAAGTTTAAAGCGGCAAATACTTGAAAAATTAAGTAGAAAGTTCGTTAATATCCATTTAGAACTGTGAGTTATCTTATATTTTGTGCTACTATATCATAAAGATTTTTTCGCTTAGAACTGTGCGGTGCAATGAAAACCCAACTATAGTGAATTTCAAGTGCAACTATGGAACTATATTATGTAAGTAGGATATTAATAAAACAGAACTCTCTTTCGAAAGAGAATACTATGATATAGTAGACATATATTTTAAAACCAATATCAAATCAAAGAAAGAATTTAGACCATTGAACCATACATAGGTGTTATAATCCATAAGATTTAAAACTCTGTGTCTCTAGGGGGTACTACTTCCCTGAATACTGACTAAGCTCTGTTTCATTCCATTTAATTCCCTCTGATTTCACCCTTTCCCCCCATTTCTCTTTCCCAGAGCGGCGCCGTTAACATGGACAAGATGACGGTGGCCCAGAAGAACGCATATCTCGAGGCCCATATGGCCGTGCAACAGCAGATGGCCCAGGCGGCCATACAGTTCAAACAGCAGCAGTCCTCCCAGCAACAGGGCTCCCCCACCACGGCCAATAACAATAATAACCAACAAAACAATGGCAACATGCAGCAGCAGCAACAACAGCAGCAGCAGCAACAGCAGCAGCAGCAGCAACAGCAACAACAGCAGCAGCAGCACTACGCGGCCACAATCAAGGTGCCGCAGATCAGTTCCTCGAGCGCAGCGGCAGCGGCGGCGGCCGGTGAGAGCACCTTCACCGTTCCCGACGACGGCATGGGCTTCGAGGGCGGCGTCCGGGTGCTACAGAGCCTTGGCACCTGGTCGGCGGCCGAGCAGCTCACCTACAATATACCCAAGCCGAACCTCATTCCCTTCACAGAGCCGTACGTCGAGGGAGGCTCGATGCATCCCGCCAGCCGGCTGAAGGCGCTGCAACAGGTGCAGCAGGCCTCCTCGGGGGTGCGCAAAACCAATCCCTCGAAGTGTAAGTAGTGTTTTTTTTATATTATATCTATATATATATTATATAAGTAATCTTATGTTTTATATTTTCCAGCCACAAACAAGGCCTTCGAGTGCACGGTGTGCGGCAAAGGACTCGCCCGCAAGGACAAGCTGACCATCCACATGCGCATCCACACCGGCGAGAAGCCCTATATTTGTGAAGTATAAGCTGCCCTCGAGCCCCTGGTGGCCCTTGGCCATCTTCGGTTGTGTCCCAATCTCTAACCAAATCCCTTCGATTCCATTCGATATTGCAGGTGTGCAATAAGGCGTTTGCCCGCAGAGACAAGCTGGTGATCCACATGAATAAATTCAAGCACGTGACACCCACGAACATCGCTCCGCTGGGAAAGCGGCTGAACAACATGGTGAAGAAGAAGGAGCAACCGGATCCTCCGCCGGAGGACAACAAGCAGAGCCTGGAGCTGCAGCTCCAGCAGCAGGCCGTCCAGGTGGCCGCCCAGAACATCATTGTGCAGTCCGCTCAAGGGGCGCCGGCGGCGATTCCCGGGATTATCATACCGCACCATCAACAGCAGCTCTCCTGGACCTGTGAGCTGTGTGGCCGGATGTTCTCGAGTCGGGACGAGTGGTCCATCCATGCCAAGAGTCATCTGGAGGTGAGAAGATGTCGGTAGAGCCTCCTGGCAGCACGGAACCAGGCAGATATCTTTGCAGTGCCATGGAGTGGATTTAATTCTTGTTCTCTTGATTTATTTCATGATCTAGTATTGACAGCCGGAACGGGTAGTCGTAGAGTCAACAAAACCAGCAGCAGTGGCAGCGGCAGCGGCGGCAGGAGTCATTGCTAAGACCGGCAACAGTAATCGTAGCTACCAGATGGACGCCAACCAGAACCAGATACAAATAGAGGCCCAAGCACGCAAGCAGAAGATAATCATACAAAACCAGATGATACTCAATGCCAGCCATCAGCAACAGCAGCAGCAGCAACAGCAGCAGCAGCAACAGCAGCAACAGCAACAGCAGCAGCAGCAGCAACAACAGCAACAACAACAGCAGCAGCAGCAACACGTGGCTCATGGGAAGAAGGCAGCCAGAAAGCACCTGCAAAATCTACAGCAGCAACAGCAACAGCAACAGACCAGTGCGCCTATGTACAATAACAATAGTAGTAGCAACCACACCAACAACCACAGCAACCAACAGCAGCCGGGCCAAGAAGTAACTACCTATTAACCACCAGTACATCAACAGAACAGAACAGCAACACCAACAGCAAACAGTCAACAGCAACATTGAACACCTTGACCCTTGTAGCTCTACCGTATTCCGTATTCTGTATTCTGTCACCCTTCCCTCGTGTCTCCCCTCTCCCCGCGTATCCAGGTGGCGGTGCCGGTGTCGCACATCATTGCCAACTCCCCAACGGCTGCCACCTACATGCAGGCCCAGCTGAGCGAGCATGCCGGCAACATGCAACACGCAGGGATGCCTATCGTTACGTATAACGGCAACCAGTACTGTGTGATCACTAGGGCCCCCGATCTTGACGTGGATGCGATGCAGAAGCCCCTGGACTACGGCCAGGCCGCCAGTGGAGCCACCAACATTATAGTGATGTCGCCCATGCAACTCCTGCCTCCGCAGCAGCAGCAGCAGCAGCAGCAACAACAACAGCCACAGCAGCAGCAGCAGCAACAGTAAGCCAAGTCAGGGAGAACGGCTAACTGCTCCCAGCTATACTATAAATACAAATTGTAAATAGAGTCTTAAGCAGCCAAGAGCGAATCCAAGTATATGTTTAAACGCACTACCCAGTAGTGTGGGTTAGGGAGTTCTCACTGACTGAGTGAACCAATAGACAAGTGAAGAATAGTAAATTCAGTAGAGTGAACATGTTAACATGTTCATTTTCCTCAATGAATTTTATAACTTTTCTAGTTTACTCACTCGTGAGCAGCGCCCCAGCACTACTACCCGGCAAAGGAATTTGTAAATGTCAGATTATACGCATAGATCAGCCCCAGTGTCAGTCGAATCAAATCTAGTCTAAGCAACCTAACATATCCCCAGCAGATTGTAGTTCCGTGTACTATCCCTCTACCGTAAGGCAGCCACAACAGCCACACTGAGATATATAGATATATCATTTCGATGCAGCTCCAGATCAGACCCCGCAACAAGTAACCCCCTACTCAGACCGCGTGTATATTTGTATGTGTTTCTATGGCATTGTTTGTACATTAAGCTATTTACGTACTCCAATTACGTCTTCTACTAAGCTCGGACCGAGGAGGAAGAGTCGAAAGAAAACGATATTGAAAATATAATGAAAATTAAAATGAAAATGAAAACCAAACAAGTAGCAGTAGTAGTGTCCATCAGCAAAGCTCCCAACACATCTCCCCAATCGATTCCAATGGCAAACCATGTAAAGATCAAGCGAAAATAAATTTAATTTAATTAAATAAAAATTTTGTAACTTTTTCGATCGGAATATGTGGTGTTCATTGATAATTTATTTTCTGTTGAAAGTATTATTCATAAAGTTTATTGTGTAATGTATATTTTTGTTATATTTGTTGTTAAATATCTTATTATATTATATTTGTTAAAAGCTGCTAATTAAATTATTTGTATTTTATTATTTTATGTTAATACCAACAAAATATTCAAAAAGCATTAAATTATATTGATAGTCATAAAATTGTGAGTTGCAAATTAATTTATTAATTTTCTTTACTCGTTGATTTATTCATTATTATTTATGAGTTATAAAATGATTTGTAAATATATTAAAAGCATTTAAAAAGATGTATATATTATTTTTCCTGCATATTTGTGGCTTTTTAATGTTCTCTGGTGTAAGTCTTGCAATATTACGTATACGCAATGTGGCCCATACTGAGCATCACTCAAGTGTCACTACACTCACTTCTGGCCAAGTTACGAATTGAAGCCATTAAAGCACCTCATAATTGGCATCTGTTGTCGTTTATTATTCTCAACCAGCCAACTTTGGCGGCATTCTAGCTTTTGGGCCAAACAAAAATAAGACTGGCCAAAAGCGAAGCAGAAAAACCAAAACATTTGGTCAATCGCTGAGCTCACGAGAAGCAGCTTTTCGTTCCAAAAGTGAAAAATTCCGCGATTTGACCTTAGATGGAAACTCGTCTCTGTCGCAGCGCAGTCGCAGTCGCTCCCGGCGTCGACGTTGCACTGGCAGCAAATAAATTTCTGCCTCGAATGGTGTTTGCGTTCGTTTTGCTAATAATACAAGTCATTCGAAGAGTTTGCAAAGGGGTATAGACAATTTTCGAAGATATTTGCAACTAATGTGATATATAAATACGAAAAATTTATAATTTTAAAGAAGGATTTAGTGGGAAATTAACATGTATGAGTGTAAATTTTCCTTGAAATCCTAATTTGTTAAAGTATCTCTTCGAAAGTTGTATAAATAATTAGGAAACCTTTAGTTCCTCCAACTTTCAAGCTCCTTCGTTCATCCATAAGAGTATCTCTTAGTTGGAAAATTCACAGCATCTCATTTTCATGTTGTTTTTTTTTCGCAAGAATCGCAAATTAGTCTGGGCCCCGCAGATCGCTGATCACCTGAGCAAACTCAAACTCGACTGCGAACTCAAAGGCGAACTCGACGCCTACGACAAATGACAGCGCTCACGGTGCCGCCAACATCTCCGGCAGTTTGGCTCTCGGCCTCCGCTGGATTCTTTGTGTGTCAGTCGGTTTTCGGATCAGTCGTCGTTCGGTCGCGTTGACCAGCACCAAATCATGCTGAACGGCAAGTTCTATACGGGTCTGCCGCCCAAAATGGTGGAGCGTCAGGCTGTGAAGGTGTGCAATCGTCAGGAGTCGCACTTCTTCTGGCCGGATGATTCCCGAGCGGATTCGGCGGTGGAGAATCGTGTGAAGAGGAGGAACAGCCAGCAGTTGGCTGTGGAGAGGCCCTTGGAGCGACTCTCCTCTGTGCAAAGTACCTCTCCCACCGAAGTGGATACGCGACGGATGTTCCATAAGGAGTTTGCCAGCTCCTCCATTCAGTTCTATGACAATCTGCAGTCAAATCCCGCTCCTGGACTTCGAAGGGGTATGCGTCGGGAGTTGACTCCAAAGCTCACCGAAGTGAAGCCGCAGGAGGAACGAACGGAGGACAAATCAATGGTGGATGCCACTGCCAGTCGCCGCCAGGAGGCCTACAGCTCCAAGATTCAGTTCTACGACTATGTGAACGAGGCCGATAATGCCACTCAGAATAATGTACGGAGACCTCAGATGGACTTGAACGACAAACGTGAGGTGGAACTCAATTCCAAGAACAGTCCCAAGCTGCAGGTCAAACGGAATGTGCGCAGTTTCAGTGTGGAACTGGAACCGAAGGTGACCAAGAAGCCCCTCAACGATAGTCCCGAGTGGCGACCCAGACCACGACCACTGCCCATGCCCAAGAAGATACTGAAGCAATCATCAATGCAGGATCAGGACCCTGTGGAATTTCTGGACAATCGTGTGCGGCGATTGCAGTTGACACGAAGTCCTGGTCTGCCCAAGAAGCATGTGACCTACAACGAGGAGGCAGCGGAGTATGCCTACTATGAGGATCCGCAGATAGATCTGATTCCGGAACCCCTCTACGAGAGTCGCCCTCGTCAGCAGCCAAATATGCCCACCGGAAGTCGCCATCAGCAGCCAGATCAACAATTCCAGCAGCTAAATCAGCGTCAGCAGCAGCATTCGCGTTCATTTATGGAAACTAGTCGGGCCAAGCCATTAAATAACAATAATAACTACCACCAGGCCAGCGGTAGGAAAATCTTGCCAAAATTAATAGAGAGCCCGGCGGCAGCAACACACATGCTGGATGAGGTACCCGCCGCTCCTCCCACCACCGATCCCCGCAAGCACCTGCGCAGCAGCCTCTGCTTCAGCGGCGACGCTCTCATGGTGGGCGGTACGCCGGCAGCACAGTCAGCGCAGCGCAGCTCCGCCGGGCAGCGGATCAGCGTGGGTCTCCCAGATTGAGTCTCCATCCATTCTGCCTTTGAATTGCGTGTTTAATCAGCTGCAACTGCACAGGGAGAAATATGAAAGAAAATAGTAGGAGATTGCACAGTTTTGTACAAGTATAGGAAAATAGGTCAAGCCTCGCTGAATAAAAGCCATGGCCTTCTGAATTCTATAAAAAAAGTCTTGAAAATCTAAATATTACATTTTATTTATTAAATTTATTCTAATCAAGTTTATTAGAATCAACTTTCAACTCAATCAAAATGATATTAAGACCTTAGCCAAGGCCAAGGCAACAAAAATCTTGCAAGCAAATATGCTTAAAATAATATTATAGCTTATTGTAAATTCAGTTATTCCATGTACAAATTACAAACAAATATCAAGAAAACGCTTGATAAATAATACACTCTTTGATTCCGAAAAGTAGTAGGATTTAATTCTTTAAAATACATCCTAAAAATATAAAATCATAGCATAATTACATTACAAAACATAATTTTTTACCCTTACAAGGGTAATTTAATTTTAGTCAGAAGCTTGTAAATGTGTGAAACAGTAATTTCCGAGCCCATAAACCATATATATTCTTGATCAGCATTAAAACCCGAATCGAACTAGGTATCTTAGGAAGAAAACAAAATTTTTCAATTTTTTCAAAATTTTATAAGGGGTTACATCGTTAAAATGTTCAAAATTTGACAAAAATTTCAATTTTTAATAAATTTAAATTGAGTATGCGGACTAATAAGCCTAAAAAAAACTAGCATAGGAGCCCTTTTTTAATTAAAATTAATGCTTTTTTGACTGAGTTATGAGTTTTTTAAGTTTTGATTTATCGGAAAAAATTTTCATATTAAAATATTGATAAATAATTATTCAAAGAATGCAAATATCTGAAGCTTAGTTATGATGGATTTCCTATACGATCCTATAGTTCAATTACAAAATTCGGCTTCCCTAAGTTAATTTTTTTTAGTGTTGTTATATTTTTTTCTCTGTGCAGTTAAGTTGACACCAGAAAACCTGCAAAAGTTAATTGAAAGCAACAGCTGCGACTGCAGCAGCATTAAAAAAAAGCACAAAAACACTGCAACCTCTGAAGGCGCGGCGGTGGAAGCAACCAGAGCCAACTTTGTTGGCTTTTATTTTTACGATCATCTGCCCAACTTTGACTTCACCCACGAATGAAAACGAATGAGTCGGCATTCGTTGAATATATATAAGCACTACCTATATATATATGCACATAAACAAACCTTGATCTTGACTAATTTGTGAGCCGTCTGGCTGCCTTTGCTGTTGTTGTGCAACCCGAACATGTATTAATTTAGCATTTTAAGCCAACGCAGAATAATCTATAATTATTATAATAGAGATATGCTAATAAACTGATTTTTACATATAACCAAATGAAGTTTGAATTGGAGGGAAGTTTATTTTTGGATTGATTTACTTATTATATGTATTATTTAATTTTAATATTTATATTGGGTTGATGAACATTAAAACAGAGTACTTACAAGGTAAGCAAGTATGTAGATATAAGTATAACTAAAAAAGAGAAAAACAACCTTATGTATATATATATAAAAGGTGTAATAAAATCATATCATATGATTGTTAATACTTAACCTTCCTTTCAATAATAAATTAATACTGCCTTTGTTTATGTTTTCCTTTTTTAGAAAGCCATGGACACTTACTTCAAATAGCTGCAGGTGCAAGCAATCATTGAACCAAAAATCATTAGATCCTCAATAGTATTCAATTTGAAGATATTATTAAATTGGTGTCCGATTTAATCTGAATTCAAATCGGCCAATGGCCCCTTTATTAAACCGAACCGAACCTATGTTATTTACGGCACCCTTTCGTGCCGCTTTGTTTTATGGGATCATTTGAATTCCCGCCAATTTGGAAGCTGGTCTCAGGTGGAGTACCTGGGCAATCAAGTCATTGCTCTGGGCAGCTCACCTGGCCATGCCCAAAAAATTCCCAAACCCATTTGCAGGTCCCTGCCCCAGCCGCAACTCCTTTCACAAAAACTTTCAGCAAGTTAGTTGGCCGAAAAAAGCGAAATCCGTTCGGTGGCATTGTCAAAACCCAGCGGAAACTCAAGTTGTTGTAGTTGATGTTGAAGTCCAAGAGCAAGTGCAACTCGATTCGCTCACAAGGAAGCGGGAAATTAAGTAAAGTTGCAACAATTGCAACGGCCACTTTGCCGCAATTGTCACGCGTGTTGAACTTGAGCTTGACCTTGGGGCTGTGGAAAGTGGGAGTGGGGGCCATTGTCCACCCATTGTCCGCTTGTCCAGCAATCATACACTTCCAAGGCTTCAATTTAGTCGGGAATTTAATTAAAGCATCGCTTTAATTGCCAGCTCAATCTCCATCTGCCATGGGAACAGCAAAAAAAGAAAACAAGCTACAAAATAGAGAAAAAAGAAAACTGAAAAGCCAGACACATGCGGACAGGATAAGAGTACAAAATAATTGTGCAAATGAAGCGTGGTGAAATGTTATGCAACTCCCTGTTCCCCTGTCCAAATCGACATCCACATCCACATCCATTGCCATTTCTATTTCCACTTCCCCAGCTTCCACAGACAAGACAAACTGCCTCCGTTTGGTATACATCTTCCGCATTACGATCGCGCATCCTGGCCACATAGAAAGTAGTCCAAGCGTGCCGGCAAAAAAGGCCAATAAAAAAGCAAAGCCAGCTGGCTAACATTTCCTGGCTCGCTAGTGGCCCCCGCTGAACCTGAACTTCGGGCCTAAAGCGGCGAGCGTTTATTGGGTAACTGATCGGAATGGCTAATGCGCCGTGGAAACTCGTTTGCAGATCGTTTTCGATTCAAACGATTCGATAAGGCGTCTCTTCTGACCCTCAAGAGTGGGTGGATGACTCGCCAGAGGCTGAAAACAATGGGTGAAATGGAGAAGAAATTAAATAGTGGAAAAATGAGGGGTACATTATAGTAAAATTTGTGATTTTTGCTTTATGCTCTGACTCCTTTGATTATTATTTAAAATGGTAATTAAACAATTCTTTTTATCAACAACATTTAACTTGGTCTTTTCCTTGGGAGGGAACTGGTTATGAGGTTGTTAATATTTGATCGTTTTTGGTATAGGTATAAGTTGAACATTTATGTTTAATCTGCCAAGGGAGACCGCCTGATTTAATCGCATTAAAATTTAATGTTAAAATTTCTGTGAAAGGTTTTTATATTATTAAGTTTGTATTTATTTAATTGTTGAGGTTCAATCGCCAATAAATTTTGCTGAAGAAATCACAGGCACTGCCTCACTTGTATTTTGCTAAATCATTTGGGTAGAAAAATATTTTGTCAAGGGTTGAATACAAAGCACCTTAAATTATAAGTGATATTTTATTCAATAAAATTTAATATGTACATCAATTACAATAAGAGTAATCAAGCTCACACCATCTATAAAAACTATACATTTTCGCATATTTCCACTAACTATAATTACACCTTTTTTGTGTATTCAATTTGCTTACTTTCTTATTAAGTCACAAAAGCAAAATCCCCGAAGCCCGTTTACAGCCTGAGAGTAGCAAATGGCCATCGTTATGCGTAATTACGGCCATAAAGAAACATTTTATTCAAGACCCCCAATACCTCGGCGCATGCGCTCTATTTCCTACTGGAAATGCAAATGATGCCTCAGTTTCAGTTTTAGTTTCATTTGCAGTTTCCTCCAGCTTCGAGACTCAGTGGCAAATCCATGCGTGAAACGGAGATTCGGATCTGGTGGGTACTGGCAGCGGTGGATACTGGCGGCTCACCTGGCAGGTTTCAATTGCGATTACTTTGGCGATTGCAAAACATGTTGCGGCTGGCTCTGGCACTGTCTCTGGCTCGAGGAAGCTGGCATAAAACTGTTGCGTCCGTTGGCCGAACTTTCAGTTTCGTTGGGGCCACGCTGGTGGTTGATGTGACTGAAGAGTGAGTTAAATAGGAGCTTAGGAAAACCCGAACGACCCACACAAAATGCGACTTTGCTGCAATGTAAGCTGCTCTTGACACTTGGATTTACACACCTGAATTCACACTTAATTCGGATTATAACCTCTGGTTCTCAGTTCTGGGCTGCCGCCATGCTTCTGGTCACAGTCTCCTCCGGGCTGAGACCACCGAGATCCTACTACCGGAGGAGTTACTTTAGTGCCTTGGCTCCGGGCGGCGGACACGGACACGGATCGGGACCGTCGTCGAGTTCCCTGCCAGGACCCGTAAGACTGGGACCCGCCGGTTACCTGCGATCCGATCTTCAAACGAACGAGAGTAAACATCGTCCTGTCAGCAAAAAGTATCCCAAGAAGAGCCACTACAGGCCCTACGGATCGGTGAGTTATAGCAAAATAAAATATACTAAAATATAAAATATCAATCGGTAAAGCTAATAGAAGAGTATTTTTTAACTTTAAAGTGTTTTTTTAGTGTTGAAAATATGAATATAAAAGTAAAATTTAGAGCTGTGTGAAGTGCTTTAAAATTATATACCTAAATGATCACTTCTTAAACATTATTGAGTAAAATAAAATACAATGTAGAGCCCTATATTGATTTTTTGTTGATATATTCAACGAGTTGAAATTAATACATAAATTCTCAAACTAATATGTAAAATGATGGAGTGTTAAAATAAAAAAAAAAACAACAATATAAACTAACTTCGGGAACCTGAAATTTATATGAATTATAGGATTGAATCGGAAATCTTTATTAAATCTTTATTTTTATATGACAAATTTTTGGACAAGCCAAATCTTAAAAAACTCATAACTAAGCCAAAATAACATTTATTTCAATTCGGAAAGCTTTTCTGTTCTAGTTTTTAAAGGGTTAACAAATCTACATACTTAGTTTTACAATATAGAAAATTCAAATTTTGTCAAATTTTGACAATATTAACGATGTAACCCCTTATAAAAATTTCAAATTTTGAAAAAATTTCAAGGAATTATATTTCGACCGGACATAGTTTGATCAACTCGGCTGTCGATTCTGATCAAGAATATATGTGATTAATAGGGTCGGAAATGATTCCTTCACATCATTACAAGCTTCAGATTATATTTATATTATCCTTGCAATGGTATAATAATAATTAGTTTTTTTCACTTCTTTAAAGTTAATTGTCCGTATATTATAATATATATAAAATACTTGTTCTGGAAGAAACTTAATTATTTTTATGTAATTCCCCTTTGCAGCAAGAGGAGGATGACTACTCTGGAGAGCGTTACAATTCCGCTGAGTACTCTGCAGAGTCCTCTGTCCAGGACAGCCGGGAATATTCCATCGGCACTCAGATACGCGTCCAACATCCCATTACTGTGCCCAAGAAGGCGAGTAGCCCAGTATCCGGATACCCAAAGCAGCCCAAATATGTGGCAGCCATTCCCTACAAGGCCACTGGCTATGGCTCAGATGTTCACATTGGATCCGCATCCGGAGAGGATGTGGGACCTCCGCCGAAGCGCTCCAAATGGAATCCCGTGCAGTATGATGCGGAAGTTGATCCCTTCCATATGGTGCCCCCGCCAAAGACCACTGCAGCCTCCAGCAGTAATTCATATAGTGTCTATGAGACGGATCACGACGACTACGAGGTGGTTCCAGTGCCGCGACCAAAGAACCACGATCGGTACAAAAATGTGGCCTCCAAAAAGCAGATCGAGGCCTACCTGGAGGATCAGCAAAAGCTCCTGGACGAGGCCATCAAGGTGCAGCTGCTGAACAATCCCAAGCTGCAGAAGTTCCTCAAGGCACAGGCCCAGGAGCACGAGCAGGAGTCACGCCCTGACCTTGAGATTGAGGACTTCGAGGCTTTTCCCCCCAATTTTTCAGGCCCTGGACCGCTACGTAGCAAGTACGTAGATCATTCACCTCCACCCAAGGGATCTCGTTCCCGACGGCGCCCACCCAGTGTAGAGCTCCACCGGCCACCCAAATCCAAGCCGTTGCTCAAGCCCAAGCGAAAGTATCGATCCACGGCCCTGGTCATCAATGTGTGAGCAGGACGAGGTCCTCAGTCCTTTGTCCCTGCCAATCCACTAATTTAAGCATCACCTAGGAGTACGTAGCGTAGGTCGTGTTGTACAGTAGAGATGTAAATAATAAAATACCATTTACTTTAACAGAGTATTTTTGATGCATTTAGGGAGTGGATAATATCTTTTTAAATAGCTTTTATATGAGATGGCTAACAGTTAATTTTCATTTTAAGGGCTAGCCTTTTACCGATTCTGGGATCCTCCTGGCTGTGGCAGACCCTCCTCCTCATCAAGCTGGACCTGGAGGCCACTGGGTCCCGATTGCTGGACATCTATCATTTGGGACGGAGAGTAGATCTTCTCCTCGGTGACCAGGAGACTGTTCACGGAGATTGAGGTGATCAGCGTGGAGTTGGGCTTGATGGCATACTTGCCCACTCGTCCACCCTTTTCGCTGGCCACCGTATCCGTGCGTAGGTAATTGGCCCCCTTGGCAGTGATCACGCACAGATCGATGTTCGATCCGGAGCCCAGATCGTTAAAGACTCCAGCCGAGATGGCCTCTCGCACTAGCTGCTTGCCCTCCTCATAGTCCAAATCCGGACGCCAGCCGTGCTCCAGCACAGACATGGCCGCCAGAGTGCCAGAGCCCATGGCAACGTAGGGTATTTTGTCATTGGAACCGCATGGATAGATGCAGTAGATCTGTGGCCCCGATCTATCCACGCCGCCCAGCAATAAGGCGGCACCGATGTGACCCTGGTAACGGAAAAGGGTGCGTCGGAGGAGCATGCTGGCACAGACCACCGGCACCACCGACCGTCCAGTGTTCAGGCTGTGCATGTCCAGCTCCGCGGAGGTCATCACGGTCATCATCTCAGTATCAGCAGCAGTGCCAGCGCCACAGCAGCTTTTGTGAGTCATAGTCGAAGGGAAAAAATAGATTAAGAAAAGAAGAGTGATTAAGACACTCACTAAATGTGGTTCTGCAGATAGTGGATCTTGGAGCAGTTCTTATCGGAGACAATGGGGCCTTCAGTGGCTCTGGTATCGGCGCCCAGGATAACGCCATCGCGGTAGATTAGACCCACAATGGATGTGCCAGTACGGACAGCCTTCGGTGGCTGGTATCCCTGGGCCAGCAACTCTGCATTTCTGGAGAGGAATGAAGAATTTAGCTAATGGTTTCAAAGTAGACTATATTAACTCACCGCCGGCAGTTGACAAAGTTAAAGCCGGAACGCACACCAGGAATATCAGCAGACTGGCTAGGATTAGGGAGATGGTGGAGCATAATGGTAATATATAGTGTGTGTTGAGTGTGTGTCTTTCAAATGTATCAGGAAATCAGGAAAATGTGGGAAACTTATTGGCAGTATTGTAAGTTTCTTGAAACGACAGCAAAGCCTTCGACATGTGTGTTTGGGTTTACTATTATTTTAAAAACCTAATTTGTTAGATTTTGAAGATTGATTTTGAAGCTTCAAAGTTAATTTTTATCATAATTATTTGAGTGAGTCCGAAATTATAATGATGTCTCAGTAATCCTCTCTCTTATCGCAAGAACATATTCTGCAAGCGGAGGGCAATTAAACAAAAATGAAACTTTCTTATCAATGATTTTATTTTTGGTATATTTACTCAGTCTCAAGAGATACTATATACATATGTAAATGGCAGTGTCTTCATTTTGTTCTTATTGAAACTCAAGTGATGAAGTTAACCAAATGAGACAAATTAATATATATGTATATATATATACATATATACTTATACAGTGATACATAAAGAAACAAAAAACTTAAAACTATTTATTCGGTAATTAACTAATTTTTCTTTAAGATTTTTACTTGGCACTAAGTCATGAAAGACATGTAATCCTGAGTATTATAATTAATTACTCTACAGTTTACAAGAACAAAAACAAAGCTGGCGACTTTCTTATCACTGTTATTTAAAGCTCCATTGATTAAAGCAAACATTGATCTCGAAGAGCAAAATATATAAAAATCAGGCTCTTACAATCAGTTTCATAGTACAGCTTAAGTGAAGTGGTCAGAATGAAATATCTTCATATATTTGTTGTAATCCTCTTTTGGACAGGCCTTCAATTGATTTCTAGTTATCCAAAGGCAAGTTTATAGATTATTAGAAGTTGCATGTTCTCTTGTTCTCAAAACTGCAAACATATTTTAAATATTTTTAGGTCAATTATATTTTCAAAGGAAATATCCTAATAGATCACATAGGAAAACCAAAACCAAGGCCAAGACCTGGGATCATAAGATCAAAATCGGCGTTACAAATTTGGCAAAGTTTAGTGGAAGATGCGTCATCCCAATGGATATAACAAATTACTCTTTAAGCTTCTGGAATAACGACAACTGAAATGGTACATTCTTATCTTGTATAAAGTTCAATTCACTTTTTAAATAATCCAATGAGCAAAATATTTAAAGAGCAGACTTTAATCTTATTCAATTTCATATTGCAGCTTATTTGAAGTAGTCAAAACGATAAGCCTTTATATATTTTTAATGCTACTCGTGGCAGGATCTCAACTGATTGCTGGGTCACGACTATGGGATTTGCTTTGCCAAATGTTAATAAATCCAGTAAATTTGAATAAAATTAAACAGTATTTAATCATTTTAGATCGTTTTTAACGGAATTAACAATAAAACAACTCAAATAAAGAAAGGAACTAATTGAGATCTTAGATGGACATCAGAAAGGCAAGCCCTAAACTGAGTGGACTTCAAAATTAAAATATTCAAGCTTTTGTAATTATTGTGGAAACCACTTAATTACATATTTTATTAATAGTTTTTTATTATAATCAAGTCTTTACATTTTCAATAGGCACACTAAGCTTTGATACTTATGGGTATGTGTATATTTAAATACTTTTCAAGTTTCAAGAATAAATTAAAAGTCAGTGGGGTTTTCTTATTGCACTTGAATATATATATAGCTTTTAAGTCAACATTTACCGAGCACTAAGAATAATCAAAGGGCAGACCAGGTAATCATTTCCAATTTGAAACCCAAAGTGAGATGTTCGGAATGAAAGGCTTTTCCATATTTTTAATGCTCCTTTTCTGGGCAGGACTGCAATTGGTAAAGGGAAATCATCCTGAACAGAGAATTGAGGTAAGCCATATATATTGATATATAAAATATTAATTTAACGCATATATTTGAATTATCAGCTGGAGGTTAAACATGTTCAACGGGCATTCATGGGACCGGTGAAAATTTACCCCAATGGCACAATCCATAAAAGGGGTGGTTGGCGTTAAAAGAATCGAAATATTATTGTCAATGGTTGCACAAAATAAAGGAATAAAAAATAAATAAAAAACAAAATACAATAATATAAATTAATACTATTTAATACAATTAATGGCGACCTCTAGCAGTGAATATATGAACTAAGCAAACATTTTACACCATCTACCTGAGGTGGTTTCTGTCTCAGCTAATAAACAAAAAATTGCACCCCTGCTGCCGGGAAGCCGTACCTTGGTCGCAAAACGCTAAAAAATAAAAACAAACCAAAAGCAATTTAAATGTGTTTTTACACAATCATCAGTACAACAAGAGATACAAATTTATTTTTAAAATCCCACCCACAAAACGTTAAAGGAGCCATTAAATCTGGCAGCGCTTGGCATTCAAAAAACACAACATTTAATGCAACTCTCCTAATCTCTGAGAACAATATATTTCTTACGAATTAATTAAAATCATTATAAGGGAAATTGACAAGGTTTCTTAAAATGTATTTAAATATTTTTTAAATAAATAACATATCCAAGTTAACCTTTAAGAGCATTCAAAGCCATATCAGATCGGCTTGATCTTTATTATATTTTGTGTGCGAACTTGCATTAATCATTCTAATAAAAATAGCCGCCCAAAGAGCACTTTGAGAAACACACCCGTGACACCTGTTCCGATTTGAGTTCAGGTAAAAATTCTAGACTTTTAGACTTTTACCTCTTTCGCAAAACCCGATCGCAAAACGAAAATCCGTCATTGAGCAAGCCCAACCATTCGATCCAAATGGAATCGATTGCGATTTGCCGCAAAAGTGGGTGCAAAAAGGGGCACGTGAAGAGAAAAGAGTAAAAAAACTGTATAAAAAATAAAGGTAGAAAAACAATAAGCGAGAAACAAAACCGAATTGATTTTCTTAATTGACTGAGCAATTTCAACAGAAGCCAGAGCCGCGCAGAAAGCCAAGCTGAGCCGGACCCGAGCTCAGTCCACAACAAAACTGACCTTGAAAGCCAAGTGGAGCTCTGAAAAGTGTTGCTAATATTGTTAGCAATTATTGTTAGCCATTGTTATAGTTATTGTTGCTATTGTTGCTGACGGTGAAAAAAGAATGCCAGCCAGCGGTGGATGTGGAAAGTACAGGGAAGGAAAATATTGTACCTGTGCCTGAAGGGATATATATATAAGTTAAAGGATAATTTACGTATCTGTATTATAAATAATATAATATAATATAAAATAATATAAGGTATTTATTCATTTGTTAACAAAAGGTTACCATTATGTCCCTTATTATTTAAGAATAATATTTGTTAATTTATACGACAGAAATTAATCCAAAAGTGTACAAAGAAGTATTTGTAAATTTGTATTGGCCCAGTTTTATTAGGTTCTTTAAGAAATTCCCCTTAATTTTTTACACTGTGATATACTTAATTAACTAACATTATTGAAAGACAACATTGCTTGAAAAACTTATAATTAAAATATATATTATGAGTTGGCTTGACAAAATTGGAAAATAAAATATATATATAATTTAAAAAAATCATTCAATAAACGATTAATATTTCGATTTTTGCTCTTAAAATTATTAACATACTTTTTAATATGTATACTATTTATTTTAAAAACTATATAAAACTAAGATTGATACACAAAATAATTTGATTGATTTAGAATTAAGCAGATAAACATAATTATTACTTGCAATAACTTGCAATTTGTAGAGTATAATAATTGAATTCTACTTAGATTCCAAGAGAGCGGAGGAGCTGGCATTGTTTTGGTTCGATGGGGCGTAAAATTGAGCAAAATATTTGGATGTAATTAAGCCGCCTTAAGTCGCCCCAATTGGAGCCTGACGAATAGACTAGCGGTCTAGTGGCATTAGGAATTGATTTGCGGCACCACTCCCCCGCCTGGAACTGCGATTACACATGGTTTTCCGGCTCAGGCCACACACACACAGAGACACATACCGCTCACACCCACATCCATGCCTGGGACGGGCGCCAAGTTGATTTCATTTTCATTGGAATTTTGCACAATTGGCCAAGATTACTGTCAAATGGGCGAAACCAGTTTGAGGTCTTTCCTTGTTGGTCGCATAGAATCGTAACAGAAACCGAGCCAGAAATGAAAAACTAAAGAAAAAAAAAACACTAAGGCTGGAACCCGTTTTGCATGTACGAAAGTTGGTTGTGTAATGTTGCAGTTGGAGTTCCACGGGGAAGTCGGGGTGGGGATGCAGCACTAACTGGGCGTTCACCGCTTCGAGGTGTTTAGATAAATCTGTTAGAAATTAAATTATGACTCGCAGGGAAATTTAAATTCTGCTATAAATTAATTATTCATTAATCAAAGCAACTGGAAAATGCATTGACTGATAAGTCTGGTGGAATTAAATTTTAATCCTCTTAGAAATCAAAAGACTTAGGACACGAACTTGGTGTTCAATATTGTATATTGATCTCACTTACAAAGTTTATCTATTTTACAAATTGCTCAAACGTCCCAGGGCCCAGAATTAAACATTTTATCAATTAAAATTTATAAATTGATTCAACATCTTCGAAGTTTATTCGCTTCACTTCGTCAAGAATTATAATTAAAGTGGGGGAAATCGGAATTATATTACAAAATTCATCCGAAGGATATTTTTTGAATGAACTTTCGTCCACCAACATTTTTGAAAGTAAACAAATAATGTTTAAAATTTTTTTTTAATTAGCAACACCAAGCCAGGGATGATGCCATATCATTTTCTCTGTGTAGGATTATAAATTACAAACAGGACGCATATAGGAAGTACGTTATATAGTTACAATTTGCTCTTAAACATATCACACAAGAGTTTTGATGGAGTCAAGCACAAGTTATACACACAGAGAAAATACTGAGCCAATAAATATATCTAAAATGATGTGAAAAAATATCAATTTGATACTAAAATAATCTCAAATTGATCTTAGTCACATTACTTTGATATCTGTAATATTTTCCCATAATTTCTGGCAATATTTTCTGGTGTGTAGAAAGAAAGGAAATTGGAGAAGAAGGATAAGAAAGGTCCCTAATGAAAAAGATGTATCGTGTCTGAGTGGAAGGAAAATCCTAGACGATCCTAGACCTTGTTAAAGGAGTAGGTGAAGCCGTCGGGCGTGCGGTTCAGGGAAAGCTTTCCAGGTGGCGAGAAGCGATGAGGATTGGGCGTGGTCGTGGGATAGTACGCCTGCTGCGGCTGCTGCTGGGGCTGCTGATACTGCGGCTGGTACTGAGGCTGCGGGGCAACGGGCTGGGGATTGTAGGCGGGCTGGGGAGCTGGGCGGTACTGTGGCTGCGGGGCGGGCTGCTGGTAGGTCTGCTGGTTCTGTCCGAACGAGGGATCATTGTACCGGGGATCGTAGGAGCCATCATCGCCATAATCATTGCTGCGGAAAGCGGGCTGAGCCTGGGGAGCCGGAGCCTGGTACTGCTGCGGCTGATACTGCTGCTGTGGCTGGTAGCCAGCCGTGGGCACGGGCTGTGGTGGGGCAGGAGGTGCCTGAGGCAGGTGATCACCGGAGGCTTGGAAGCTGGAAAGGGGAGAAACAAATTAACATTTAACCCAATATATAAGGATCAGTTCCACCTACCCATTCTTGCCCGCCGTGTACGAGATGGTGCGCCTCTGGCCCGAGGGATCCACATAGCTGTAGCTACCATGACGTGTACCATCGGCATCCGTCTCCTCCTTGAAGTTAATGCCATCCTCCTGCTCGTAGGCAGCTCCAAACTTGCCATCTCCGGAGAGGTAACGCTGCTCACTGATAATGGCCGCCGTCTTGGGGTCCTGGTGATAATGCTGGCTGGAGGCTAATGCCACCAAGGTGGTCAGTGCAAGCTGGAAATAAATTCCCAGTTTGTTATTTCTTTATAAGGAAATCGAATGGAAAATAATTCTAAGAGCCACACACAACAATAAAAATTCTAGGCAGCCAATACATATCTTATTTAGTTTTCAGATAATACATGGAAATTCAAAATAATAATTTTGAGCAAAGAAAACTGTTGTTTTATTTAGTTTAATTTATAATTTAAGTAAAGGGAAGTAAAATGAAATCAGGAAATATATTTCACAACTCTTTTGGAACTGGGAAATCATAGTAAATAATTTTATAAAATGTTTACTAATATTTCTTTAAGACAAATTGCATTAAAAGTTAAATACAACACCATTTTATCAGCACACAAAAAAGGTAATTAATTATTTTAACAATAAACTGGCAAATCTCTTTCCGAATTAATATTTAAAAATATTTTTCTTGCTTCTAGAACACAACTCACAAATCTGAACATTTTTGCTGCAATAAATTTGGAATGTCCTTGTTAAGCGTAAACTGCACTTGATTTAATTCTATCTCTCTCTCTCTCTCGTTTAGATCGAAGCGGGGGATTCACACGCGCCTTTACGCTCACAAGTTGGACGACTACTGGTCAGTGGGTTAACTGGGGAGCGGATCGAGGACCGACGGCAACGGATTTGTGGAGTTAACTGCCTTCCGCAACGGCGCCGCCCAAGCTTTTTATAGTCGAAGCGGGAACCTTGGGCCGCCGATCGGCTCCGCCTAGGCACTCGAGCCGTGTAACTGTGTTGGTTACTCGTACCATTAACGCGGTAACAGCAGTAACAGTGGTAACAGCGGTAACAATAACAAGAATCGAGCTAAGTGCTCCAATAAGTCAACTTTAGACCAGGCATCGGTATTGGTACCAAGTCGTTTTACCAGTTTCGATCTCTTTCGCTTGGAGCGCCAACTTTTGCTTTCTACATGGACTCTATATTCGTACAATATATCTGTATATATAGATATGTATGCATTATGCACCCAAGCCCAAGACGAAACTATTTTTTAATTATCTTAAAAGTTTTCAAGCTCCTCATCTCTGTGGCGAAAACCTGGAATTATCAATTGGTTCTGCTGCTCGCCTCTTAGGCGAATGATGCAATTTTTATGGCAATCGTTTAATTTGCTTGTTGAAAAAAAAATATATAACAATGTTAAGGGAAAACATAGAGGTCTCTTTGGTGTTTTTAATTTATTTAAAGGCGTACCGATAATGTGTTGGTAAATATTTACAATTAATTGACACAATTTGGTAAGGAAAACCTGTGATTTATAAATAAATTAAAAAAGAAACACAATGCGCTTGGCACGTTTTAAAAATTAGAGTTTAAATATCAATACTTAGTCATTGAAATAATAATTTAAATACATGTCTTGTATACTTTTAAATTAGTTTTATAAATAATAGCAGCACGAAATGCATTACATTATAAATGGAAATGATTTCATTATTAACAATTTATTAACAAGTAACTACCTAGTTATAAATTTTATATATATATTAGTTTTTCAGAGCCATGGAAAACTGTGTTTGTATTGCTTAATTTCCTAATATTTTTCCAGTGTGATGAGCCTTTTGGAAAACTGTCGATTTTGATGGATAACTGGACCGCCCTCTGATCAACGAGGGCTTGGGAAATTCACCAAATGAGCGTTGTTAAGTTTTTTCTTAAGAGTTTGCTAAACAAACAGTTTCTGTTTTGGGTCTCGGGTCTTGGCTCTTGGATTTTGCATTTGCATTCGGCATGTGCATGGGCAAGTTGATTTATATCTAGATCGGACTTTGTGTGGTGTGGCCAAAAGCGCTTGGCAACAATCACCGGAGTTGCCCTGGCCTGTTGCAGCAATGTGTTTGACTTGTTGACTCCGCGCTGGCTTCAATTATTTATTGTGTTTGAAATGTCTGGCATTGTTTTGGGCTTGTTTATGGCCAACAGTTGGCTGCCACCCACATGCTATACGGTCCGAGCCCCCTTCGTTTTCCCCCTTTTTATGTCATAATGTTTACAGAGAACTTTGTGCTTAATTTATAATCTGAAACGGATCTGCATGCCAAAGATGGTGTCACGTGCATGAAAATGTTACTTCTCTTGCAAATAAATTAAACATTGTTAAGTATTAGAACTTAACTAATTTGTTCCCTTTATTTTTCTAGCCTCCACACCAACCATTTAAGTATGCAAATCGGTTTTTCATATATTAATGAGCGATTTCCACACGGCACACTCTTCGGCTCAAAAGAGCCGCATGTGGTCGATGTTCTCGAGTAGCAACACTCTCATTAACACCGCTATTTGCCCTTTTGCAAGTCGCCATCACGAACAGCATCATCATCATCATCAGCATAATAGCCATCATCATCCGTCGGTTTGTTTGTGTGGCCAAAAACAGAGAACGCCCTCTCGCAGCGGGAAGTGTGCAAGGAGCTGGGAACTCAGCACGCAGGACGAAGGATAAGGGAGGAGGAAATTAAATCAGTTGACAAACAACAACAAGAACATCAGCTATAGCCAGATATATATATATATATATATGTACAGCTATATGAGTGTACTGCTGCAGGGAAGCAAAAGCAGGAAGGACCCAAGGTGAAGTTGAGCATGGCAGGATTAGCTTGAGGGTGTTGAAAAGGAGGGTTGAAACTCACCAGCTACAGTGAGGACTCAATCAAGAGGAAGTCTTGCCTCTGATTTATGATTTTAATATATATTTTTTACCAGAAAAGATTTTAAAATAAGAATGAAAACACTAAATGTGGTATAAATAATATGAAATTGGTTTTATTATTCTCCAACTTCCATCCTATCTTTGAATTTAAAATAAATTTATAGACCAACTTTTGAAGTATAAAATACAATATGAGGAAAAAGTAATAAGTGCTCTTAATTTACATATATTTTCAAATAAAAGTGCAGAAAGTATTTCTATATAACTATAATTATTTGAAACCGATAAAAGTATTTTAAAGTTTAAGGTACTTGAAGTCTTTATTTGCTGAAAGAAAGTGATAGTGAATGTTTTACAGAAAATGGTTGTCAGAAATATTCTAAATTTTATTCAAATCTTACGCTTTCTTCTACAATCTTTCTAAAATTGTTCCCTAAACCAATTTCCATTTTTCCAGTCTTCACTGTACTCTATAAGTTTCCTTCTTTCGTGTGGCCTCTCTGGCTGCTGCCTTTTTGATTTCCATTTCGATTTCGAGGCGTTTGCCTGATGCGACGATACCGCCACCCAGGAATAGTATGTCCTGTGAAGGGAGTCCTTTCAGAAGGTTGATTTTGTTGTTATTTCTATTTTTATCGCCCCGCATCCCCCTGTGCAAGCAGGATGGCCCTAGGCCCATTCAGTCAGCCTTCTATTTGTCGGGCTTTCACTTTGGCCGAGTTAATCGCAATCGGCGAGCAGATAATGAGGGTTAGTTTCTGAGGCGGATGGGTGGGGATGATCAATGCAAAACAGGCCATTTCCAGAGCCAACAGGAACAGCCATAATTCCGCGTTGTCTCTCAATTATTTCAGCTGCTGCCGTTGCCGCTCTGAGTCAGATTCCAAAGAGACCCAGGTCACGAAACTACCACCACTGTCGAATAATAAGGCTCACAGACAATTGCGATTATTTGTAATTCAAGATGCAGTCGAGCATTCTCTGAAATCGAGAATCCGAGTCAACTTCGCCGCGCGGAAGGTTAACAAAAATTTAATGCTAAATGCTTATCGCCACATTATCATCTACATCGCCATCTCCATTTCCATTTCCACATTCACAGCCATTTCTATTGCCAGTAGAAGTCAAAACTGAAACTCGCTAAACTTGTTGGGAAATATGATCCATTATTCCCGGTGGAAAGGATAGCAAAATGCAGTCTGAGATGGTGATTTGATAGCTCATCCATCTAGATACACATAGCTGACCCGGCAGACTCGTCAAAAGTCAGTCAGAGAAGCCAACGAGGCACTGAGGGAAATATATTACACTTTTATAGATAACTTACAACTAGGAATACTTTAATAATACTTTAAAACATATATTTACCTTAATAAAAATAGCATAAACGAAGTATATGATACAAAGGTATAAATTTTTGATGTTATTTTTTGGTTTTATAATTCTATTTCCAATAAAAAGTTTAGTTCACATTAAAAGGTTTTAAACTAGAAAACGTTTGCAGATTTCTCTATCTTTAAATAATTAATTTTAAAACAATAATTTCCACTTTAAGGATTTATTTTTCCCTGTGCATAAATCCCACCGATCCAAATCCGATTCAGTATCTGGCTTTCCAATGAACATGTAACCTGAGATGAACTCCTAACTGCCGTGTAAGTGCCCACTAATTGCGCATCTGCTGAAATTTTACATCGCATATCCCTGGTTCATTTCCCTGGCATTTTCCTTGGCCAAGGTCTCGCTTACACTCACTGTCGTTTGACTTTTCCGCCGGCTTAGCCTTGCCCAGAAATCGCTTGTCGGATTGAATCGGATCGCATAACCAACGTGGTTTATGGTGCCACTGGACCAGTTTCCAGTTTCCCCACACGCACACGCACACACTCACACACTTGCCCTGGGGGCAATATCAAGGTCATTGGGGCCGCTGCCTCCGTGTGCGTGTGCGTGGTGACTTTTGGGGGAGCGGGATAAGGAGGAAGGAAAACTTGTTTTTCGCGCATGCGTAGCGGTTTTCGCACTGCATTCGCAAACTTCCGCATTGGGGGGACATGGTGCGAGTGTATTTGTGTGTGCGAATATGCAAATCGAGTGCAGAGTGACGTCAGGCGTCGGTTAAGGTGGATATGGGAGTGGAAAATTGTGCACTGAGGGAAGGATTTATTAACTAAAAAGAGATTTATTAAGTTCGTCTTAATATTATTCAAAAGATAAATTAAATATAAAGTCCATGAATCGACTTTACTAATCATTTATATAGCCTTGGAGGGTATTCTAATTTCTAATTTCCGACCCTATAAATCATATATATTCTTGATCAGCAACAAATGGAGAATCTATCTAGCATTGTCTTAAAAAAAAAAAAATTGAATATTTTTTCAAAATTTTATAAGGGGTTACACCATTAAACTTATCGGAAAATGATAAAAATTTCAACTTTTTTTAATTTTAAATTAGGTATGCAGATTTGTTAACCTAATAATACTTAGTATAGAAAAGCTTTCCGATTGGAAATTAATTCATTTTTGGCTTAGTTATGATCTATTTGCACAGCAAGGGTATAGAAATTTTGGGTACCCAAAATAAGCTTCCTTACTTATTTTCATCCAACCTTTTTATATCTCTTTCTTTCTATGGATAGGGATACATTTATTGCTAATAATAATATAAATAAAAAGAATAACCTTACATTGTATTTTTAAATCAAATAATTATTTATCTTAACCATTTTTAAACATCTTCTTGAACTGCAAACACTGTAGGCAATTATCTGCCCTTGTCCTTGGACTGTGTGGCATGCCACTGTCCAGTTAGTGGTTGCATTTGCAGTTTTTTTAGTTTTCGAAAGTTGTTTAGCAGCCACCCAAATTGTTGACCTTCTCGAAGGAATATCAGTGCATTGAACCCAAGAGATTCGGACTCAAATTTGCTGATTGTAGGGAGAGTGTCCAAGATCACGAGAAC